TAAACTGAACTTAAACTTGCTCTTATTCTAATGCCATTTCCCTAGTCTATGGCGAGAAACAAACAGAAGTTTTTCTTTAAATTAAATTTCAAAGTGATCTCAAATATAATTCTTAACATTATAAATTTTTATGATAAATAAGAAATATAAATATAATCATATGTGTTTCCATACCTTAAGAAACATCAGTAACAGGCCAAAAATTAAAAACAAAATTTTTTAAAACACGTCCATGCGCTATAGTGCAGGATCGATCAACCAATCAATCGGCTCGACAATCGAAAATCAATCGACTTGAATGGAGCTCACCAACATCTAAAAAGCGTTTCTATTAATATGCAAGATATGACGAAACAAGTTTGAAGACATTATGAAAGAAGCTGAATTTATTGCAAATAAATGGGGCATAGAAACGAAATTTGAAAAATAAAAAAGAAATAAAGAACCTAAAACACTGCCATTTGTTAACAAATACGGAAATTATTAATAATATTTCTAAAAAGTGCAGAAAGACATATAAAGCTAGACTTGCACTGGAAGTACAACTTTTATTATTTATAAATACTTTCAGAATAGAAATCCAAAATTTGAAATCCGTTAAGGATTTAGCTAAATTAGCAATGGTAAAATATTATGACATCACAAGCAGTTATTCGGGAGTATATGCAATTCACTTATATTGTATTTATCATTATCTGTAACCACAGCCACGAGTGAGAGGTCATTTTCAATACTGAAACTAATAAAAGCATATTTAAGAAACGGTATCACACAAGATCGGTTATCAAACCTTTCATTATTGAGCGTTGAAACTGAGATTGGCTGAGAAAATGGACGTTTAAGTATTGATAAATAATTTTGTGGAAATAGGTTAGGAGACGCAAATTTTAAAAGAAGGATTTTTTTCTTTATGATGAATTTTGGCCACCAATGTTATCATTACACTTATTGAGGGAGGAAAAAATTAGAGAAGAAGAGCAGTACGGACTGAGGAAAATTAAAAGGAAACAGTAAAAAACTTTAACATTTTTTATAAAAATCATGTATTCATGTAGTTTAGTTTTCCAAAAAGTTTTTTTAAAAAGACAGAAAAAAACTTTACCATACATATTTTCTACAAAAATTTTATGCTCAAATAGTTTTCTTTATGAAGTTTATGATAAATGTGTTTTATATTTAACAAATGTATCATTTACATTGTAAAAGTTCTTATTTATTACTTGTATATTATTGCATAAATCATGTTCGTAAGCTGAGTAAATCACAGAGTACTATACATTAATGTAATAGCTTTTCTGTACGTTTATCAATTATCTTGTCTGTCGGTTTATAATATAACTAATTATTTATAAGTTTGCTAACTTAAGCGAAAAAACTGAAATATACGCAGATTTTATATAAAAATTTAAAACATTAGTATGTAAAACTTCTTGGACTTTATATAAAAATCTCCGCAAATCTAGGCTTTCTTCTTTTTCTTAATGCTATACGTCGACATGTTCCTTTTTTTATATAGACTTATTCGTTTATTATCAGTATGCATCTCAGTGAAAGGAGAGAAAAATCTGTCTCTCGCACTCATACAAAAAGTCTCAAGTAACTGAATTAAAATCATCTGACGTCAAATACCCAGACTAAAGCAAATTTACATTTCACCAGTTGGTCAAGGGAAATTATTTTCCTTTTTATTCTTTCTTCATGTTACGTACCTTTCAAATGGTTCCCTAAGAACGTGCTTATACTTTTTAACAATTAATCCAGATGTGATAAAGAGGCCCACAAGCGGCCGAGCGGTAAAATTGCTGAACACTGGTAGTTCGGTCCGACGTTCGAAACCCGCGAACGGGTTGGCTGCATGGGCGTTTTCGTGGTTTTCCCCATGTGTAACGTGTATACGAGCAGTTTCCCTTAGAAAGTCCTCCACGAAGGCATCCCTCCCCTTAGGCAGATAGCCCTAGTGTGCTTGGCCGTATTTTCAATACACACCATACACACAAGATGTGATAAAAATCATCATGAAAACATTGGCTCCTGAAATCTTTAATTTTTTTTTAACTTCTTTTTTTTTTTTTTTGTTTTGTTTTGTTTTGTTTTGTTATTTTTAAGCACATTAAATTTTTTGGGAAAGGGACCCAGGAAAATTTTTTGCATAGGGGCCGAAGAGTTCTATTTACGCCACTGCTTCTATGACCAAACTTTCCTGAGTGATGCGGGTTAATTTATGCAAAGATAAATCTCACAATGTGGTTTGAAAAAACCTTATCCCATAAATACCAGTATTATCGGATATCCTATATTCGGGGAATAACAAAGAAAGGATATTGTGGAATAATTTGATAACAAATAAGAAGCAAAAGATGCGTAAAAAATATTTGATCTGAATTACATGACTGCAAAAGTTTTCAATAATAATTTAAAAAATATTAAGAAAGGGACAGAATTTCTGAAGCGAACTTCAATTTTCAAACTACAGTCCCCAGATTTAAACTCCCATTTGATCTGTTGAATAGATCTTCATATAATTTTCAGCTTCTAATGCAGTTTATAAAGGATAACACCAACACAGACTTTTGAGCCTCGTTGTTAGAGATCTTGTTGTGGTTTTGGGCAGCCATACGTATTCTGCCAACACTATTATTTTTCTGCAAAATCTATAGAAGTATGTTAAGCGACCAACTGCTTATTGCAGTGAATATTTCCTGTAGAACACGCTATTAATCAAGACTCCAGTTCTTATATTTCATATTTTGAATAGTGGATTCCTGGGTATGATCAAAAGATTTCATAGTTTTCATGACCTCTCAATGGCCAGGGATTGGGATTATTTTAATTGCAGCCAAGTACTTGTGGGCTGCCTGCCTAAGGGCAAGTTTGCTGTTTGTCTGTCTAAGACCAAGTTCGTGGAAGGCTTTGAAAAGTAAACAGCCTCGTATTTATATTACGCGTGGAGAAAACTATGCAAATTCTCGTTGCAGCTAGCACATTTCCTGTGATGGTTCGATCAGACTTGCTGAGAAATGTGCCGCTGTTTTACGCTCGACCGCTGGTGGGCCTCTTCACTCGTTAAATCTTAATGTTATATAATCTTTATTAAAAGATTGGAAAAACTGGAATACTCATTAAAACGGGCGATGTTTATAACGGAACCATTAGATCTTCTTTTCAATCAAATTGGCTAAAAAGTATAAAATTAAATGTCTAATTTGAAATTTCATCAGTAAAAATATCTATTAATTCCTCGTACATATGGTCCTCACGAAGTTGTTTTAGACGATGTTATCACGGCAATAAACTGAATTAATACTTGGATACTAAGGTAACTGTGGAGGTACTCAATTAAATGGGAATAACTCTTGCTGCAAAATGAGAAGTACCTCTTGAAGAGCCTAACAAAAGTAAAAATTCATAAAGTGAACTCTTGGGGAAGAGTCTGAAGTAGGAAGAAGGAAAAGACATGCACTTTACTCTCTAAGCTCAGAAAACAGGATTTTCACGGGAAAAAGGTTAGGCAGAAGGAAACCGTTAGTAGCTGCTGCGCGAAGCCAGGCACATTATGTGGAAAGCAGCAGTGAATTATCTTTCGGTAAACAGATAATTTTAGTTTCCTTCTTCAAAACCAATGATTTGTACTACGTTCAATGCAAATTTCGGTTTTTCTATAGGAGGCTTGGCGTTTTGGCATTTATTTGCAATATCTAGGAGTTCTTTTTTAACCCAATTTATTAACTTCCAGCAATTTTTTAATGGTAGGTAGGGAATTTTTCGGCTGCTGGGCTGGAGGGTGAAATGAAGAGAATTATGATTTCTTGGGAAAGTTCACTTGAACATGGGCCCTTGGCTGTTTCTTCTCTTGGCAAGGTGCACGTAAAATTAAGATGGTTTTGAGCACATTTAAGGCAGTGCAGACGGTTTAAACCATCCAAACTGATGACGTCTGTCCAAAGCGCTGAAGCAGAAAATCGGGCATTTTCCTATCTTGAATTATTTTATATTGGGTGGTAGAGAGAAAAGCTTTCCTATACTGGTGCTGATATATGCTAAATGTGGATTCATTTGAGAATGTGACATTCTAAAGATGAATATCTGCTTCGGCTGGCTTACTACCAAATTTTGATGAGTCATTCAGCTGCAAACCTTTCGTGGTGCTTCATTTTATGAGAATCTTGCATAAAGCAATTCTTTGATGGTGATGTTCTGAAAATGTGCTATTTTTGTGGGAAGATAGACATGACGTCAAAAGTAATGACGTGCTTGTTGGACGTCTTCCGAACTCAGTCTTTTCTGATTAAATGCGCAGAAACCGATCGTCACAGTTTATTGTACATATTGGTTCATCTCGATAGATAAGCTGGCCGTTGCAGATGAGATCTTTTCAATATTAATCATGATATACTTTGAATTTGGGTTAATGTGAGAATGTGGTGCTCTTAAATAATAACATCTGCTTCAGCTAAATTTCTACTGAAACTTGATAAGCAAATCAGATGCAATTGTTAATGCTGTCTTTTATTATTTATTTATTGGAAATTCGCTTACGGGGAATACTTGAGGCTAAAGTTCTGAAATCTGCTACTTTTCCAATGGGAGACAGGAAATACTTCTATTTATTAGTCGTTTTGAAATTAGTCTTTTTGGGGTTAAATGTGACTGTAGACCCCATTTTTAATATTGGTTCATCCTGATAAGAAGTATTCCTTCTCTTACTCTATTGAAACTGTTTACGAACACATATTTTTCATTCTTAAAAGAAATCTTGCATTCTCCAAAGCAAGTGTACATGTTGATAAAGGTTTTCATTTTTGAGCAGCTTTTTTCAAATTTTTACTCAAGTCCTCTAATTCCTATTTCTCTGCTTATTTATAATGGCGAATTTGGTTTACTTTTAAAAGTTTTCTCAAGTTCTTATTAATAGTGTTTGTTTCGCGAGATGAAGAATAGATATTGTTATAGTTTAATACATTAAGAATTTGCATGAAGACGCATAGAAATTACATACTTACCAAACAGTCAGGAGTATTCATTTTCTGCCGATAGGGCGGAGTTGTGGATCAGGGTCAGGAACAGCCTGGATGACAGACAAAGTTGCCACCATCAGAGCCGCGAGGAAAAGTAGACTGCGTTTCAAAAGTTCCATTTCTGAGATGCACGAATTCAATACGTATGAATAACTTAACTCGGAGATATCCTTTTATAATACAACTTCTATAAAAAAAGTATGCAATATCATGCCAAACAATTAACCACACAGAAAGAATATACATTGAGAAAACGAAATGATTTGCAAAACACAAAGTATATTTTAAACATTCGTAAGTTTTTGAAATAAATTTTACCAGTGGAATTTTTTTAAATCTTACAGGGAATTTGTTGGTTATTTCGGTGACTCAGCATTGATTCATTGACTGATGTCGGGCACTTTTTGTGAAATGATTTGCAAAATACAAAGCATATTTTAAATATCCATGTGTTTTTAAATAAATTTACTCAGTTGAAGCAAGTTTTTAAATTTCAGCGAGGGTTTGTTGGCTATTTCTGTGACTCAGCATAGATTCATTAGCTGATGTCGGAGGCTTTCTGTAGATGGGTAAAATGCAGAATCATCCTAAATTTTCTCGAAGCTGGATCCTAAATATATATCGAAACTGACCAAAGTTTTGAATCCCTGAAACCTTAATATAATAATTAAGAAAAACAAATTTTACTCAGTATTGAGAAAGTATAACTGAAACAAAATTTGGAATCCATATTTGAAGAAAAACTGCTCTTGTGTTTATTAAGAACACTTGAATGAAATTTAATGAACGGCTACGTAACTAAAGCACATGAATCTCGATATTAATTTAATGAGTGTATTTTGACAAATCTCGGAATGTATTTACCCTTTTTAAAGAATTTTTGAAAATCAAAGCAAATGCGAAGGGAGATGGACACTTTAAGAATTATATAGATCAGCATAGATTTTTTTCATTCTGTACCCCCATTTCATTTTCGAGACTTTGCGTGAACACAAGCATTAAATGTAGAATAAAGATATAAAATTAAAGATTTTATTGCTTTAGTAAACAAAATACAACAGGAAAAGAAGTGACTTTGGGATTGTTTTGAAGCAAGCAAAAATTACTGAAAGAAACACCCCTTTTGATGAGATTCAAAGAAAATCACATTTTGATGAAATAGATAGGTTTTTTTTTTTTTTTTTTTTTTTTTTTTTTTTTTTTTTTTTTTGCTGCATAGCAAATTAAATGCAGTATTTGGAACTGCTTAAGTATGTTTAACGATTTTCAGCACTGAGTTGTTTAGATTTAATAACTGATAAAGCTGGAAAAGTTCTTTTATATAACGATGTGGTTCTGAATGGCAGAGAAACATTTAATGCCATATCAGAAATTCAAATGAATTCTATTAGTTTCAGTCCAGAATTCAGTCAAGAAATTTTGCTAAAACATAACTTTTGAGTCATTAATAAATTAATTTTCCCCTTGAATAATTTTATTAATGTCAATTAATAAAATTTCTTTAAATTCGGTCATCTTAATTAAATTTTCGAGACTCCATTTTAACAACATACTGGAAAGGATATGATACCGGCTGTTTGATCAAGAATTTCACAGATGAAATAATATCGCCTTGTGAAAACTCTTCTACCGAAGTTCCCTAAAGCAATCCCTTGAAAATTCTTAATCAATAGCGGAACCCTACCTCGCAGAAAGTATTCTTTTCCTTCCAAAAGTCACAGACAGACGCAGATACTCGATATCCATTTTGAATTTCCTTTACGCATAGAAGTTTGAAAAGGTGGTTGGAGTATGATGACGTTTCCATCGGGGTTTGGACTCACAGGACATATAACCTAGTCGATTCTGCTGTAATAGATTCTGTAGTAGAACGCAGGCAATTGACGGATGTATTAAACTGCGTTATTATTGAAATAACACTGCGTTATTCTTATAATAAGATGACTTGGTGAGAGTTGCGACGGACTGGCGTTGGAGAGGACGTGCCAAATAAATCATCAAAGTATTTTTATCTTATTTGTATTGCATCATATTGCAGAGACATAAAGTTATTTTTTGGAAGCAGGAGACACTTGAAAAATGAGAGACGCCTTCACCGGAATTGAACCACGGACCTCTGGAATGTTCGCCCAGCGTGCAGACTACCACACCACGAAGGCATGCCAAGAAGGTGGGAGAAGTACCTTATATACTCTTCCTTTTAAAGAGCGACTGGGGACCCAATTGCAATATCCTGGGTGAGGAGAATCATGATCCAACACCCTTTAAGTTCGGGTGCCACTAGGTTATTTTTTGGAAGCAACAGAGATTGAAAAATGAGCAACGCCTTCGCCGGGAATCAAACCATGTACCTCTGGAATACGCGCTCAACGTGCAGATTACCACACCACGAATGCATGCCAAGAAGGCGGGGGAGAAATACCTTATAATATTATTATATTTTTAGCTTGAATTTTTTGTAGTAGGAAATATGCGTATCCACAATAAGAAGAGCTTATTTAAATTGAGAATTATATTTTGACATGAGAGTTCCCAGAACAATTTGTATTATAATGCAAATATTTTCAACAACAAAAATTTGAAAGACCTTTTTAGTGAACATTTATTTATGAAAAACATTTGAACATTTATTTTGTGAAAAATTTTGAACATTTACCTTGTAGAACTTGTTTCATCAAAAGACTACAAAAAATTTTCATTGGACATTAAGACAACATTGGATTTAGCATCTGTTTATTGGCATATAAAATTAAATGAAAAAGATACTGAAAAATTGGCATTTACTAGAAATTTTGGTCTTTATGAATTTAATAGATTACTTTTTGGTTAGAAAAATTCCCCAGCTGTTTTTCAAAGAGCTCTTAGACAAATTTTAAAGAAATATCAGATTTGAATTTGCATTAAATTATTTTGATGACATTATCGTATTTTTTCCAAATTTTGATGAACATCTTAAACGTCTTAAAATAATATTTGACATATGTGAGAAAGAGAATATAAAATTCAAACAATCTAAGTGTAATTTTGCTATAGAAAAAATGAATTTTCTAGATAATGATATTGAAGCAGGAAAATATCAACCCTGTAATGTAAACATTGAAGTTATTAGAAACTTACAACCCCCTAAAAATGTTAAAGAATTGCAAAAATTTTTAGGAATTATAAGCATATACCATAAATTTACTCAAAATTATGAAAAAAATTGGAGTTCCTTTAACAAATTTATTTAAAAAAGGTACTCCTTATAAATGGACTCGAAATTCATTGGTGTTTTCCCGCACAGGTTTGAATCCTGTCGACTCTGCTGTAATAGATTCTGTAGTAGAACGCGGGCGGTTGAATCCGTAACGAACAGCGAAAATTTTGATGCCGCAGAATGATGAAACGCCGATCTCAGTGAATAAGAAATTTGGCAGTCAAGGTATATTTAATTCAACTTTTATTTCAGTTTAACATGCTGTGGCCACAATCAAGTAGGCACATTGCCTATTCCAAAAAGTTTATATTTTAGATAAATTTGTAGTAAGGTAAAAGGAGCAGACGGACTGCAGTCCAGGTAGGCCAGGTAGGCTTATGCCGACGACTTTTTGCTGGTAACCAAAGGGCACAGCCGCAACGCATATGAGACTAGGGCAACAAGCAATGGACAAGATGGCCAAATGGGCCAATGACCATAAGTTAACTATTGCCAACTCAAAAACCCAAGGTATGCTTATCTGTCCAGGTAAGCGCCATCGAAGAACCCCGTGCATCAACCTTCATGGGAAAAATATTAAAATAGTCAGAAACTTGAGGTACCTTGGAGTTATAATTGACGACACATTGACTTGGATGCCACATTTAAAGGAGGTCAAGGCACGACTTCACAGGATATTTCATTCCATGCTCAGAACAGCAGCACCAACATGGGGAGTTTCTTCGAGGATGCTTAAGACGTGGTACTCTGTAGTTGCTGAACGTATTGCACTATATGGGGCCTCCATGTGGGGCATAACGATCACTACTAAAATGGAGAATCTGCTGCACAAGGACCATTCCTCCTGAGCATTACCCGAGGATATAAAACCTCGCCCACTAATGCTCTAAACGTGATTTCAGGACTACCGCCTCTGCATCTCTTAGCTCAGCGCGAGAGTGCAATAGTGCGAGTGCTCCGACTCAAAGAGACAATAAGTTTATGGGACAGGACTTATGTTTATACTGACTATGAGCAAAGCATTCCCGAGCCACCTTGCCACCCGGCCGAATTCAATATCTCGATTAACTGCAGGTCACCAACGTGGTTCAATGCCACTGCAATCTACACCGTTGGTTCCAAACGAAAATGTGGCACCGGTAGCGGATACTGTGTTCTTCTTGGGAACCAGATCTTAAAGACCTGGGAAAGAAAGCTTAAGCACCACAACTCAGTTTTTCAGGCTGAACTGATTGCATTAAAAGCTGCACTTGTCTACGCACTGGAAAATAACTATTCCTGTATATATTCAGACTCAGCCTCTAGCCTCCAGGCAATCCAAGGCACAAGTAGTAAAAATCCACTCGTCAGGGCCATACAAAAACTCTTACTAAGAACACCTAAATACTATAGGCCTGAACTCTAGTGGGTACCTGAGCACACTGGAATACTGGGTAATGAAATTGCAGATGCAATAGCCAAAAGAGAAGCAACTGACCCGCACGTTCGCACACTTGACGTGCCTCTCCCGGGTTCGTTCTTAAAAGCTGAGCTCGAGAGAGAATTACTCAAACGTTGGCAACATCTGTGGGAGACAGAAACCACCGGCAGAAGAGTTTACAGATTTTTTCCAAAAGTCTGCCGGCTTCTAAAATCTGGCTCGTCTCACTTCACTCAGTATGTAACAGGACATGGTCCCTTCTTGACTTACCTGCATCGCTTCAGACGACGCGAAAACGAGCATTGCTCATGCGGGATGGTAGGAGATCCGGACCACTTTCTGTTCGCTTGCAGAGAGACGGCCAAATATCATGTTAGGCAACCAGTAGCAAACCACATCCATGCATGGGCCGAAGCTACTTGAAAAAATCGCAATGCATTGAAACGCATATGCGATTGCATAAATATTGCACGCAAAATCTCAGACAGGCTGGAGTAATTCTCAGCCACCATCCTCGTCACCAGCACAGCCCCTGTATGCTCTGTACCTGTAGTGAACTAATTTTATCTTAAGTTAGCTTATTCGGCTTTTTTTATTCCCTGTATATATTTATCTCCTTGAACTGTAAACCTTGAATTATGAACCTTGAACTATGTATTTTGCCTTATTTTATGTATTGTTTCCACTGTTTTGCCTTTTTTTATATTATGTATTGTTTTACTTTCTAGTATTTTACTTCTTATTACTTTTAGTATTTGTAACCACCTATCCATTACTCTGTAAATATGTAACTGGAATTGTTCTTCACGCCCGCAATGCACCCTTCTTCCATCTTGCACTATCGTCTTCGTCCAGCATTTGTTTGCACTGCCCCCAGCAGTCGTCTTGAGCACAATATGTATTTATAAGTATGTCTTTTGTTCAAGTTATTTCCGTCAGCGGGCTATCTGGCCGATATGCTAACTACTCAGTGGACCGGCTGCCTCGCTGTCGATGGAAAGAAAGAAAGTCCAGGTAGGCCAAAGCGTAGAAAGCAAGTCAGTTATGTTCACTGCGAAATCTTAATTCAGACTGAGTTTGCTTTGGTTCTCAATGCATTTTGATGATATAATTAATAGTGCCGTATAATTACTATTGGCCGTTTGAGTTTTAGTTCCATTTGCATCACCAGAATTATATAAGAGTCATATGACATGGATTAATCTAGAATTGACGCAGTGCAGTGATTACTATTTTTAGAATTGGGAAGGAAAATTAATTTTTACGCTGCTAATTTAATTTTTTACATATTCTTTACTTTTCTTGCACAAACACACACACACACACACGCACACACACATATATATATGTATGTATATAGTATATATATTGGGCTATATAAAAAGTGTCCGAGGGTTTGTGGTACATATTTGAACAAAAATTTCCTTTATTGAAAATCAGTTTTAATCACGTACATATTGACCATTATTATCTATGACCGTTTGCCATTTTTCGAGTTGCTTTATAATTCCGTCGATGTAGAACTTCTAAGGTTTATCTTCGAAAACGTGGCTAAGTGATTTTTAGTGGCGCTTGGGTCGACCAATATTTTACTATCAAGGGAATTTTGCAGAGACCGAAACAAATAGTAGTAAGTCGGTGCAAATTCCGAATTCTTTGATATAGAAATTTCCGGAACGGAATGGAGCAAACCACTCCTGTATCCTTCGTTCACTCACAGAATTCTCACCGTATACTTCACAAATTTTTCGGCATGTTTTTGCAGCGCTTTCCCTTTTTTTTATAGTAGAAAAGTATCCCATAGCGTATTTCCTCAGATATTTCACTCATTTTCAAATCAATATAACATCTTACACGAGCAAAGAATTATAAAACTACATTTACAAACAATGAAAGTTAAATGTAACCTTTAAGCACATACATTCGATTGAGAAAATCCGCTGAGTGTTGCCGGAAATATAGGCATCAATATCCATCTAGTGGCAACAAAAACAAAAAAAAAAAAAAAAAAAAAAAAAAAAAAAAAAAAAAAAAAAAAAAAATTCTCGAGACTTTTTATATGACCCAGTATATATATATGTATTAGATTTTCGCAATCATTGATCTTTGATCCTTACTTTACGACTTTATTTTTGAAATCATTGGTCGTTGTCATATAACAGTACATATAGACTGTTTTTTAAATGATGAATATATTAAACTTTTGGCATTTCAAAATTTAAAAAATAATAATAATTTTGACAAATAACGAAATCTAACTTTTAATGCGGTCTCTCGGTTCTTATGATCACATTTCGAAAAGATTTATATATTAAAATGAAATCGTTATGAAAGAATAAAATTATGAGAAGTTTGACTCGCTTATGACAAAATTTAATCGGGAATTTAATTTCAAAATATGCAATTCCAGAGAACTGTGTGAATTTTCCGATAGTGTCATTCAAATAGCATGGCATTTCCAAAATTAAATTTACAGACATATTTTAGAATATGTGACGTTTCTCATTTTTGGTAAAAACAATAATTTTTTTACTGGTCTTAAATTATGGAGCATGTTAATTTTTGATTTCGTACATCCTTCCAATCCGATTTTTATTAACTTATTTATTATTCTTATAATATTATGAATAACAATGAGTAAAAAATAATGTGATAATTAAAAAATTATAAATTAAATCACTAATTAATAAAAAACTCTGAAAGCTGAATTTTCAGATTTTGTTTAAGATTTCAGATTTTTAAGTCGCCCCAAAAGGCTCTCTTTTAAAATCTGATGAAGCTTTCTTATTTAGATGTTCAAAGAAGGAAAGACCTTTCGAATAAAAGATTCGAGATTCGAAAAATCAAATCTTCAGCCTGTTACAGTTCCATGTTTAACGTTTATCCATGTCAGCTGGTCTTAAACTTTGCTTTCCAAACGGATTGACAAAGAGAATATTTTGTCTTAGTCTCGAAAATGTAATTAAGATGAGGGAACTTAAAGAAATTATATTAATTGGCATTAATAAAATTATTCAAGGGGAAAAAGGGATTTATGGAGCAATCTAATGACTCAAAAGTTATGTTTCCGGAAAAATTCTTGACTGAATTTTGAACTGAAACTAATAGAATTCATTTGAATTTTTGATTTGGCATTAAATGTTCCTCTGCCATTCAGGACCACATGGTTATATGAAAGGACTTTTCCAGCTTTATCAGTTAATAAATCAAAACGCGACACAATGTTGAAAAACGTTAAACATACTTAAGCAGGGACAAATACTGCATTTAATTTGCTCTGCAGTCAAAAAAAAATCTGTTTTATTAAAACATGATTTTCTTTCATTAAATTTTATATACTTGAAACAAATCCCAAAGTTACTTCTTTTCATATGCATTTTGTTTACCAAAAGAATAAAATCTCTCTTTCTCATTTGCTTTGATTTTAAAAAAAAATCCTTAAAAAATGGAAATATTTTCTACTATTATTAAAACAGCTTTGTCAAATTACACTGATTAATGAATATAAAGATTCAAGTGTTTTTGTTATGCAGCATTTTATCCAATTTTATTTATATCTTTTTTAATAAATACAAGTGCACATGCAAAGCGTTCTGCAGTTTGTTTTTCGTTTTTTAAATTATGATATAAATTATTATATTTTTTAATTATTATGCGTTTTTTTAATTATTATATAAAGGATTTGAGAGATCAGAAATTTTGGAGATATTCGATATATATTTAGGAATCCAGATTCTAGGAAATTTATAATTCGTCTCATACGTAGTTTTTTAAATTTTTTTTAATTTAAAAAGATTTGTACTACACCGCAAAGCAAAGAAATGTGAATTTCACGTTTTATATCAGATGATTCTGAATTTTAACGAACGTGTCCGACATCAGTCAATGAATCTATGCTGAGTCACCGAAACACGCACTCTATGCTGAAGGCGCTGAGATTTTAAAAAATTCCTTCAATTGAGAAAATTTATTTAAAAAAGATATGGATTTTTTAAAAAGGTTTTGTATTTTGCAAATCATTTCGATCTTTGAATGTATATTCTTCTTCCTGTGTCTCTTTAATTTGTTTCTATGGTACTGCATATTTTTAGGACTAGGTTGTATTATAAAAGCACTGCTTCAAGCTGAGATATTCATACCGATTCTATTCGTACGTCTAAGAAATGGAATTTTTGAAACGCAGTCTGCTTTTCCTCGCGGCTCTGGCGATGGCAACTTTGGCTGTCATCCAGGCTATTCCTGACCCTGATCCTCAACTCCGGCCTATCGGCAGAAAATGAATGCTCCTGACTGTTTGGTAAGTATGTAATTTCTATACGTGTTCAGGCGAACTCTTAATCCATTAAACTATAACAATATCTATTCTTCATCTCGCGAAACAAAACTGTTAATAAGAACTTGAGAAAACTCTTAAAAGTAAACCAAATTCGCCATTATAAATAAGCAGAGAAATAAGAAATAGAGGATTTGAATAAAAATATGAAAACAGCTGCTCAAAAATGAAAACCATTATCAACAGCTACATTTTCTTTCGAGAATACAAGATTTCGTTCAAGAATGAAAAATGTAATGTTTTCGCAAACAATTTCAACAGATTAAGAGAAGGAATAGTACATACCAGGAGGACCAATATTAAAAATGGCGTCTACAGTCGCATTCAATCCCAAAGTCGAAATTAAAGTCGAAGTTATAAGTCGAAAATTGTATGATAAACAGAAATGGCAGTTTGAATCTGGCAGCCACACTTTGGCAATTGCAGCTGTCAGGAATTCTAACTCTTTCCTTACGTTGTTTTTATCATTTAAAGTTTTGAAACCATGTTATTCACCTCATATGTTACTTATGCTGGAGTTTAACTACAATGTAAGACTTACCTCAGCATAAAGTACCAGGCAACACTCTAAGACAATTTAGTCACAAAGAAACAAAGATTCGTTTTCCATCTCGAATAAATAACATTTTTTTCCCAGGAAAATTTTAACAGAATTTGCATTTTTTTTTCCTTAAAGAAAATTTCTTTCATTTTTTGTGACTCGCTGTTTGATCGTGATCTTGAAACAAAACTCTAAGAACCGAATGGTGGAAAATCTGCCTTTACAGTTTTTTAAAGTCAATAGTTTGTGGACGTATCATTACGTTTAGTAATTTCATTGTTTTCGCTCTTCTTTTTAAATGTTCCACGAAAGTTCTTTTAGTTTCTGCATACCATACTGACAAGATTTTAACAATTTGAATTTCGTGACAAGATTTTAAAAATTTGAAATGGCTTTTGCATTTTTCTACAATTTTACCATTTCTTCTCATCAGCATTTGCATACAATAAGATAAGTCATGTGATCTTTACCGTTCTTGATTTCCATACACTGATTCTCTTTCAAGGCGTAATACACGTGACATGGTATAAGACACCGGTTTCATCAACATTAGACATTTTTAGCTGATGTCCATTCATTTCTTTGGATAAAGCAATCTACGATAGATGCATTTGAGACATCTTTCCATTCTTCGCTTATAAAAGGACAGTGTAGGGTGGCGCAATTTAAAATTGTACAGCCACCTATTTCAAAAACAATTGTTCTTTGCATTCAGTTATATTGACATTAGTTTCCTACGTTAGCATAGGCTCATTTAAGGCACAGCATTGAGTAAAACATAACATAACATAAGCACAGCATTGAGTTTCGGCAAATTTCTTCGTCTTTTTTAATTTTGTAAAACACAATTATTTTTGATTTTATACAGGAATGACCATTTTTCCCTCTGACGATTTTTCATATGTCAGCCCTATATTATTGTTGAATTATGTTGATTATCAGCGTTGTCTTTTGATGATAATGATAGTCTAGACATTTTAAAGTTAAAATAAAAAGTTAAGAGGAAAAGCAATATTCGAATTTAATACTGCTATCAAATAAAAATAATGCAGGTCTCCCATTGGCTAACGACTGGGTAGCAGATTTCTTTACATTTCTGTTACTTCAAGCGATCGTCCTTGTCTCAACTGATAGGCAGGGCGGGGGCTGAAAACAAGCACTTCGGTTCGAGTTTCCTACCGAAAGTCCTCCAGAGAGGCACCCTATCTCTTATACAGATAGCCTTCGAGTGCTTTGTCTTAGTTAAATAAAGCAAACGAATCTTTTCCTCCACCAAATGGTTAATATTTTTACCCTTCTAATATTCACTTGGAGAAATATTTTCACTTTGCATCTGGAAAGAAAAGGAAGTTCAGGAATAATTGAAATAGTAAACAAACTTCACATTAAAAGATTTTAGACATTAATTTTAATATACGTGAATTTCTTAAGTGTAATTTTTTACAGTATGAGATTTTAAAATAAAAAAAGAAATATAAATTTTATCTGATTCGTTCTAGTAAATGGAATAACATTTATAGAGAATTACGGTTATTTTATGCAGTTTTCAATAAAGATTTTTAAAAATTTTGCCTTTCTATGTGATGTTTAAACAATGTGCCTGCTTCACTTCAAACATCAATTATCATTCCCAGTAAACCTAAACAAAAATGGCCAAAAGATGTAAGGATAAGGGATTTAATTTGTCTGTCTTCCTAAACTTCCTCTTTTCTTTCCTAAAATACGCAACAGAAATAAAATTAAATTATCTACGTTCATTATTCTAATTTTTCTTTAAATTTATTTATATTAATCATCTTATAATTTTTCTTTTTAATTTAGGATTTGCAGGTATGGAAAAGGACCGAATATGCTTCTTCTTCAAAAATAAAAATGGTTCTACAGAGATAAACGATAACTTCTAAAAGATTTGTAAACTGTTATTCAATGTCATGTTAACCAAAATTTAAAATTTGTTTTCCTATTTGACAAGTGTTTCCAAAATATGCAATAATAAAGCATCTAAAAAAATTCGCATGAAAAATTTTATTTCGTTTTATTACTTACTAGCCACAAACGCGACCAGTAGCCTAAAATAGTTATTATCAAAGTAAAAAAAAAAAAAATATCCAGTCACAAAGTCCAGCAATTGTTATCTTTTTGGTCCAGCTAGTAATCAGTAATAAACTCGATAAAGAACTGCATTTATTGCTTTTAAATTTCTTATTTTATCAATCAATAAGACACAGATAAAATGTAAAAGAAAAGTTAAATATCTTAACTTTTCTTTTACATCTTTGCTAAACGACAATGTACTGCCGCGTGAAAGATAACAACATTTTATTGGCGCAGGGGCAACACACTTACCTTCAATCCCAGTGTTTGTTGGTGAAATTCAAAAGAAAAATAAAAACACTCCGTTCTGCCAAGTGGCGTTATTTTTTATATCGCTGTGTTTTCTGATTAAATTTAAAACATAAATATTCTACGTTTTTCCGATTGGTAAAACAGAGCTTTTAAATTACTAAGCTTTCAAGCAAAATCTCGATAAATTAGCACAAAATGAGAAACAAGTAACAAAGCAAATTCGAAAGTCAAAATTCGGGTTTCAAGAGGTGCATCTTGGGACTCAGGAATGCGGGTCTTCAAATTTTAATGCATCCAAGCGCTGCCATTTTTCTACATAGCGAAACATGAAACAATCTATATATATATATGCGGATTATTTATTTTGTTATAGTAGTGAATATTTATATGAAACAGAACGTCGATTTTTCAATTTCCGCAAAATAATTTTCCCGTGCGCATCTTTTGGTGTTTTAGGTTAATACCATTTGATCTTTCGAAATTTCTAATTTATTCTACATGGGGTAGAGCCTAGTGATCAGACACCCATGTGTAGCAAACAATTCCACACATGAGCCAGGATAAATTTAAAATCAGTAACGGTATTTAGACACATTTCCACTGTTCCCATAATTATAATTTTTGCATTAACGATTTGCAGGTCTTGTTTTTAGAGCCTTTTGAAAAGATTAATTAAATTGGAAGAGAGACACACTACTATAAAATTTTAAGTTAGGCAAAACAAACACGGTGGGGCATAGATTTTGAAGAAAACTCTAGTTTCAAGAAAACAAAAGGATTCCATTGGAAATAGACACGTTCCTTTTATTTAGGAGCAACAAATTTGCGAAATACGTTTTTGATCTGAGTGGTGCGATGTTTCAGTTCTTGCTCTACTTCCTAAGTGGCTCATGGACTTTACCCAATCTAGTAATAAATTATTCGAAAATATCAAGATCAAGTAAGGCTACAAGCAAAATTTTAGAAAGTATTTCGGAAAATTTAAATATGAAGTATAATCAGGATAATTACATTCTTCAAGGTATTGCCATACAGTATACTGCAAGGTTTTGTCGAGCTGATGATATACTAAGAGAAATTCAATTAACTGTTACTAACAAAAACATGCCATGAAATACTTACAACAAAGAACACCTTATTCACACCATGGAAAATAAGAGAAATTTTGCATGCAAATTATAAATATTTACAGGAATTAATTACTATCGAATGTAGTACCTCAGCTATAGATATTTCGGAACATTATTCATTACATTGCATGAAAATTAAGCATTAATTATACAAAAACTGTGTCAAGTAATACACTTTGTCAATTTGAGTAGACGTGCGCGGCAAATAAAAAAGTCCGGCCACTGGTCATACGATTAAGAATAAGATCACAGATTAAAAATGGAATACTACGAAATATATGAAGGACTTTGTGTCTAAGTCTGTTATAAATACCATATAATATAGGATTTATTTCAAAAGTGATAGTTAAGTTAGTGTTAATATCACAACTGAGACATAAACAAGTTATCAGTAATGGGATCTATCCCTTGCATATTAAAAAACGATAGCATATTAATAACGATTTAATAACGAAAAGTAGAATTTACAATGTACCATGCATCATAATATTTTCTATTAAGTAGAAAGGAAAACAAAATATAAAACTTAATTTAAATGATGTCAAAGAGAAGTATGACAATAAATTTCCCTTCCATGTAAATATTTAATGGCTTGATACGTTTATTTTCTGGTAAAGTGCAGATGTAGTAGTTGATATCCTTAGAATCTAGCAGCGTAGTACGGCCCTGACTATGCATTATGAACTTTAAGAAGCAGAGAAGAAACGGGAAATAGCCGAAAAATTATGTTTCAACGTAACTCTTTGTATGACACCTCAGGAGGAGCAAAATTTTAAAAGTGCTGTTCATGCTTCTTGTGTAAAAAATTTTGGACAGTGATGATGAAAGATCACGATCACCTTACGGGAAAGTATTGAGGAGCTTTGCACAATATGTGGAATTTTAAACATAGGCTTCAAAAGAAACTTCCGGTCGTATTCCATAACTTAAAACATTATGATGCACATTTAATTATTCAAGAATTGCCTAAAGTTCAAAATCGAGGGTTTTCCGTCATAGCTGGTAATATGGAAAAATATGTTCTTTTAACATTTAGAAGAAGATGGAACAATATAAGTGTATTTTAATTTTTTATTGACACTATGCAAATTATGAACGCATCTTTAGAGAAACTTGTATCTAACCTACCGGAAGAAAAATTTACAACTTTAAAAGAAAATATTCATGTTCATTAAAAGAAAATTATTATTACGGAAAGGGTGTATATCCTCCTGAATATGCCAACATTTTTGAAAAATTTAAGGACACTCAATAGGCACCCATAGAAGACTTTCAGAACACATTAACTGGTGAAAGTATATCTCGGATATTAAACGCATGCGCAAACAGTTTGGCGAGCTTTCCGTGTACAAAATTTATGAGACTGTCACGATTTATATATGAAAAGCGATGTATTGCAATTAGCAGACGGTTTTGAAAATGTTAGAACAATTTAAAGAATTTATTATAGTTTAAACTGTGCGCATTTATTGAATGCAGCAGCTTGAAAGTTTGACAAGCCTGCTTGAAAATGACCAATCAAGCACTAAAATTATTAACAGACATCAACATGCACTTATTTATAGAAGATGGAATTCGCGGCGGAGTACCCATGATTATCCGTGTAAGACTATGGAAAATAATAAATAGTACCTTAAGCATTTTGATTCTGCTAGAGAAAGCAAATATATCTTATACCTTGATGCAAATATTTTAGGCATTTTGGAAGTATATCTGGAATATCCCGGAAAACTTTCTGACGTGAATAATGGATACTCAGGGACTCCAGAAAAAATAAAAATACAAGCTAATGATCTTTCGCCTTATGCAGTCAGTCCATTGAGAAATAGTAAATTTGTATCCAATATCAAATTATTTCTTAATTTGAACCCCAAATTCAATTTTGTCATCAACCATAAGAATTTACAGTTATATCGCTTATTAGGATTAAAATTAATTCACGTACATAAAATATAAAAATTCAATCAAAAGGCTTGTTTACAACCTTATATACAATGTAATATGAATCAAGGAAAAATTGTGCAATCTGGCTATGTAAAAGATTTTTATAAATTAATGAACAATAGGGTATACCGTAAAACTAGAGAAAACGTGAGGAAACACGTTGATATTCAATTAATAAATACAGAAAAATATGCAAAGAAATAAGTAGCAGTCCCAACCATTCACAATTTCTGAATTTTTGATAAAGACATTGTTTTGAGTGAATTGACTCAAAAATAGCGTTATTCCTAAACAAACCCGTTTATGTAGGATTTGTTATAGTAGAACGTAGTAAACATCTTACGTACAACTTTCATTACAGTCATATCAAAACATAATATGGAGACAGAGTAAAGTTACTTTTTACCGACGCAGATTCTCTCACTTACGAAATTTTAATAGATGTATATCGAGATATGAGTTTTCATATGTATATGTATGACACATCAGATTATCCGAAATGTCATCCTTTACACAATATCAATAATAAAAAGGAAATCGGATGTTTCAAAGTAGAAATGAATTCAGAACCCATATTGGAATTTATTATGACTGAGGCAGAAATTTATTTGTTACTCTTCAAGAAAAGTGAGACAGACGAAAACAGCTAAAGGAATAAACCGCAATATCATAATATATATATATCTATATATATATGTATATATAATTGTCATAATAAGAGCAAATCAAAAAGACGGAACACTGTAGATGCGTGATTAGACCTATATTGAAAAAGATTTTGATTGCGTAGTATGCTAGTAATGCTAACTTGGTAATATTTAAAGAACTTGGCAGTTGAGGCAGTTTTAATTCCATTTTTATTTCCAATTGACATATGTGGCCACAGGATCACTTGGCACTCTAGTCGTGCCTTTCTACAGAAGATTTACATTTTTGATATTGTTGAGATAGAAAGCAAGCCAGCGAAATTACATCTTAGGAGAGTAGAGAGCAAAAGCTGAAGTGCGTAGTTATGAAGGAAGGAAGCACGGCAAAGAGAAAAGTTTTGGTTTACAACGGCAGTTTCAGTTCCCAATTATTACGTCATCAGAGCTGCGCGGGCCAGAGTGATCTAGAAATGACGCAATGCAGAGATAAATTTCATCTCTTCTCACAGGTTCCAGACATTTCTATCTTATGTAAAGTTTTAATGCAGATGCCTCTCGTCCAATCAAATTAATTCTAAACCAAAACTGTGAACTGAAACTTCAGCCTTCTTGCTGTGAAAGTACTATAACCTTTCCCTTAGTCCTTCTGTTTAAAAAAAAAAAAAAAAAAAAAAAAAAAAAGAAGTAAATATGATGTTGGTTGTATAAGGGTTCAACCTCCCAGAGTTATACTAACTTCTGAATTACCAATAGCTTATAGACCATATAGAGCATCTCCTAAAGATAATAGTGAAATTAAAAAAGAAATAGAGGAATTGTTAAAAGCTGAAGTGCGTAGTTATGAAGGATGGAAGCACGGCAAAGAGAAAAGTTTTGGTTTACAACGGCAGTTTCAGTTCCCAATTATTACGTCATCAGAGCTGAGGGGGCCATAGAGTGATCTAGAAATGACGCAATGCAGAGAAGTTATTATGATTTTAGAATAGAGAGGAATAATTAATGCTTATAGTTTAAACTATAATTTCGATTCATATATTTTTATCTTACATATATATATATATATATATATAAGAACTGCCTAAGACGAAACCATATGTAGTAGAGAGTTACAGCATAATATCCAAAGTAAAAATCATCTTTTTACCGTAGCTCTAAATAAAATAGCACATTCTACTTTGGATGATACAAGATGTATTCTGAATGATGGAATTCATACCGTTGCATATGGTTATAAACAAATAAAAGTTTTTTGTCCTTTCTGAGACAGCGCGCCTTTGTTTAAGACTTTCCGTCGGGACGGGTGGGAGTCAAAAAAAGTGGCCCCACAGGCCACGGATTTTGCATCCGCCAAACCTAACTATAGGGAAAAAAAAAAAAAAAAAAAAAAAAAATATAATAAAAATAAAATAAACAATAATAACGTCCTTAAGTCATAATTTTTGTACTATTTTAGATTAGCTATCATAAATGTTAAAATTAACGTTAATAATATTTTTCCTTTGTTTAACATGAAAATATATATATATAAAAAGCTTACATTGAGAAATAATTTTTGGAAGCGCTATTTAAATGATTTTTAAGTTTTAATTCATAAAATACATTAATAAACTTTAATAAAAAAATACAAGAAAGTCAGTTTCTAAGAGGAAGTAACAAAATATTTCACGTCAACTGGGAGGCAAATACTCAATGAGCTCAGTCTGTGACAAAATCTCCATATGAGAATCACTAGAAAAATTACTCTCTTTAAAAAATAAATCGTCACTCTCATTCACATCACTAATTGGCTTATTTACCATTCGTCTGATAAATAACGCCTGCTCGTTATGATAAACTGCAGTCAAAGCTTTCCGAAATAAGAACAATGCAAAGGGTAATGGAATCTCACATCTTAACCCTAAAAGACACTACATGGTAGAAAAAAAAGGAATAATAATAATAAAAAAAAAAGGCTTTGGAGGGATATAGAGAAGCGAATGCTTATATTACGAGTTAAGGAGATGAGCTCTTTCTGTTCATATTACGCTCACTTCCGCAACAGCTGGCCCCAATTTTACGCAGAATGTGATGATAGTCACAATTCTAAAATAATATTCAGTTCAAAAGTAATGGACACAGGACGCCATCTAGTGGTCTTCAAAATGTTCCAGGACACTGGCACAAACATGTGACAGCCGGGGGTGAACGAGAAAAGGATCTGGCACGCCAGAGTGCCGGCCAGGAAATTAGTACTTTTTTGTATTTTGGAATGTATGCCTGAGAGTCGGCGCGAAAATGTTAATGGGAGAAAAAAAATGGATTGATGCGGCGTTTATAACGTCGGATTGTGGTGGTAACAATTCCACATTTTTTTTTTTTTTCATTATCTAATTCAGCCCAAATCTGAAGCAATTCGCTCTAAAGAACAAACTTTCATTCCAATTTCTTCACGTTTTAAACCTGGCTCATTTGAAGACGCTATTTAACGAATTGTAGCGCTTCGTGAACGTTGCTCTAACAGGTGTTCTTCTTTTAATAATATTTTCCTTGTTAATAATATTTTAAACCAATAAATTCAATATTAGCTAATTCACTGTCTTCTGTCTTTAAGCATCACGTCCATACATCACAACAATGTTGATAATGGATAGATTACCAATCTACTTTCCCCTTAAAATTTTATTGCGTTCTAATTCTTTTATAACAAAATAAAATCTAAATATAAATAGTGATGCCAATCTCTTCGAGAAAACTACTAAACTTGTAGCCAGATTTATTTTGTTATTAATTTCTCAGTGAGTTTTTCCTTAAGCCATTCCAGAAAAACATTTTGATGCCTGTCATACACGTTGATAGACAAAAGTTTGCAGTTGCCACTTCAAGCCTTTTCTGGTCGTGGCTTAAAGTAATCGTTCAAAGGATAACTATCGTACACCCGTGGCAAACAAACTTCGGTTATCTCGGTTAAATTTCATTGATTCTAGAAGATATTCTTTAGTTTTTAGGCCTATCTCCAGTTTTGACGCTTTCGCCATCAGATCCTAGGATGTGCTAATAACAAGGCCTGTTTAGAGGCTCAGGAACACCCGCAGTTGTGGGGTCGAATTTTGAAGAGGGCCCTGCAAGATATATGCCTATTAGGTATTTTTACGTATATTTACTACGAATATGGACAATGTCCATCAAAAACTGCATCGAGATTTTGTGGCAGGTATGGAAGGTGAATGAATGTAAACTAGGACCTCTATTTGGCAAGCAGTAAAAGTTAATAAAACTTAGTATAATTTTTGACAAAAACAGTACATTTCTGCTTTAAATTCTTGAGATTAAAATTATCATTCACCAAGAATCCCGACATCTTTGCTAATGCCATTTTTCTTTTGCTTACTTAGCCTGTCACAATTGCTGTTCCTTCTTCTGGTCTGGAATACATTTATACTTAGTTCCCTTTCTTTGGAAAAGTAAGAGAAGGTATTGAGGTTGATGTCAGTGGCGTAATAGGTATATGAAAAGTATGTACAAGCATGGGGACCCCCAGCCTTACACAGCCTTTATGTGTTCAATCTCATCCCTGATGAAGAATTCATTGGGAAAAGGAGGAATTGTTTCCCAGTTTTGAAAAGAACAACTTGAGGTCTACCTGGTTGGTGTTCCTGGCCTTATAATGTAAGTGATTTCAGATGTTTGTTTTATTCTGCCAAAAGTGGTTAGAAAAGGTAGAGGAATGCCTTCGAAACCAATAAATTCTGTTCCAAGTCTGTGAAATGAATTAATAATTGAGTTACCCGTAATATTGTAATTAAAACTTATATTTTGCACTTAATGAACTTTATATTTAACTAATTAAAGTACAATGAATATGTCATTAATTAGAAGTTTGGCTAGATAAAAATTATTATATTTTATTATTCATGCAACTCATTCCCCTCATGCACCCCTCAAGCCTCCCAGTAAAAATGATTTTTATAAAATTTCAAGCATTTTTGTGAATAATTTTTATTGCGGATCTGCTGTATTCCATTCTGTCTACAATTAATACATAAGAAAATAAGCCAATGAAAAATAATTTTGCTAATATGAAAATAAGAACACGCAAATTTTAATTAAATAGGTAATTTTTACCTGGTAATTCCTAGCCAATTAATTTTAAAAACTACATGAGTCAGCTAGAGTATGTGTATTTATTATAAAAAATTAATAACGTAGAAAATCGATAGAAATTAATAGGAGAGGAGGATAAATCTTTAGCATGCATTAATCTTTTATAAATATTGCCGAATTTCACTTAGGAAGTTTCCAGTATAAATGTATGTATTTAATGTTATATTTTAAGGTGTCCATACATGTGCATAATTTTAAAAAGATTAAAAACATGTATTATAAGAAGGATTCTTTATTCATTTTGCACATTTTTTGACTAATTTATATTCTTTTGTTTCAATAAATCATACTGTATTGTTAGCGTAAGCTTTCTTTGAATGTTTAAACTACTGTTCTGTCTGGCTGCTAGTCAGAAACAAACAATAAATACAATTTCATACGTATTCCCCACCAATCTAGAGTCTTTTCGTTAGTTCTGCATTTTACATAGCATATTCCTTTTCCATATAAGTAAACATTATTGATGCCATTTGGCGCTAATACAAAGACCGGTGAGATAAAGAATTATTGTATTACCTTATAAATATTGTTGTAATATAAATAATTATTGTATTAAATTATAAATATTGTTGTAATGTAACCAGTAGCGTGTCTATCTAGCATTTGATAATTCGTAGTTTGAATCCCGTATAATTAATTTTTTCCTTTTCCTGCTGGAAAAAAATATGCCTCTACAAACTATTCCCGAAAACGACAAGCTTAATTAAGGCGACCTGGTGCTTTATTTCAAACCATAGCTGATTCCTTAGTTTTTACTCGTCTTTGCTGACTTAAATGCAGGAAAAAAGGGGAGTATACTGGTAATTAAGTAATCCAGCCCTGACAAAAATCATCATCACTTAAAAAATCGTTTCCGTTTTTTATTTTCTTTCTTGGAGTCATGTAAATTATAAAGCACACTTCGAGGAAAGATTTTTTTTTTTTTTTTTTTTTTTTTTTTTTTACAATAATGAGAAAGGTAATTTCAGTGAAAGAGTCGTCGTTGCGTTCATGTTTACTGCAGTTTTTAGGTTCTCGAAATATTCGAAAACAGAATATATTTTCTTGTAATCAAAAGATTAACATGTACACGTTGCGCATTTAAAGAGAAATTTAAAAATCAGATTTTGTCCTTAAGCTTTATCATTCACCAGCTGTTTTTTTCTCAATATTCTTATTTCATGGCGCAATTTCTAAAATATCACTAGTAAGAACGATAGAATTACGTTCATTGGTAGATGATATGCTTTCTAGTACTTCCAGTATTCTCACGTGAAATTGACCTCAAATATAGAAGTCGTTTCCATAAAAAAATTTTGCAAATGTAATAATGTATATACTTTATCTACGAACAGGTATTTCAAGTGAGTATAATAATTCTGCAATAGTTAAACTAGATCTCGGATAGTACTATCGTTAATGTACGATATTTATGTTTCAAATTTAATCAGAAAACAGAGCGATATAAAAACATAACGCCACGCAATATATTAATTTTTCTTTTGAATTTCACCAACAAACACTGGGATTTAATATAAGTGTGTTGCCGCTGTCGGAATTAAAATATTTTTATATTTCACGCTCTACTACATTGTCGTTCAGCAAAGAGTAAGATATTTAACTTTTCTTTCACATTTTATCTGTGTGTTTCTGATTGACAAACCAAGAAATTTAAAAGCAATAAACGCAGTTCTTTATCGCCGTTATTACTGATTACTAGAGGAACTCATAAAATGACACAATTTTAGACTACTGGCCGCGTTCGTCGATAGTAAGTAATAAAATTAAATGAAAATTTTCATGTGAAATTTTATAGATGCTTTATTATTGCATATTTTGGAATGTACGAAATTGAATAACAACAATTTACAAAGCTTTTAGGAGTTATTTTGTATCTCTATAGAAGCATTTTTATTCTTGAAGAAGGAGCATATTCGGTCGTCTTCCATTCTGCAAATCCTAAAAAAAAAAAAAAAAAAGAGAAATGATAAGGTGATAAATATAAATAAATTTAAAGAAAAACTGCAATAATGAAACAGGTAATTTTAACGTTTTAAATGTCGTATTTATGGAAAGAGAAGTAAAAGTTCAGGAAGGCAGACGAATAGTTTGAATTCCTTATCCACATACCACCCTATATCTTTGGGCTCTTTTTGTGTTCAGGTTTATTGGGAGTGATAATTGATGTTTGAAGTGAGGCAGGCAATTTGTTTAAATATCAAATACAAAGGGGAAGTTTTTAAAAATCTTTGTGAAAACACAACGTAAAAGTACCGTAATTCTTTATATATTTTATTCTGCTTACTAAAACGTTTCCAATAAATCTTATAGTTCTGGCTTTAATTGAAAATCTTACATTGTAAAAAAATTACACTTGAAAAATTCAGATATATTAGAAATGATGTATAAAATCCTTTAAAGTGAAACATGCATTCTATTTAATATTCTTCTTAACTTTCCTTTCTTTAGAGATTCAGACTAAAAATATTTTCTCGAAGTGAAAACTACAAGAGTAACGGTATTAACCTTTAGCTGTTAGAAAGTATTCATTTCGCTTATTTTTTTATAAAAATAACATCAAAACACTCGAGGGCTATCTGTTTGAGAGAAGTCATGCTTTCATGAAGGACTCTCTCAGGGAAGCTCGCTCATATATACGTTGCACATGGGGAAAACCACGAAAACACTCATACAGTGATCATGTTTACGGAATTTTTAAAACCGGGCCGAACTACTATCGCTCAAAGACTTTATTGCTCGGCCTCTCGGAGGTGTAAAGGACGATCGTTTGAGGGAACGGAATACGTAAGGAAATCTGGTAACCAGTCGTTTGTCGAAGGAAGACTTGCCTTCTTATTATTTCATAACAATATAAAATTCGAACACTAGTTTTCCTCACCGCTTATGCTTTTTCTTCTAAAATGTATGGACTGTCATTAAAACACAGCACTGATATTCAACATAATTTAACAGGAATGTCAAATGTAGAAACATTAGGGGTGAGACTGGGTATTCCTGTATAAAACTAAAAACAATAATTTCGTCTTTCTTCTTAACGTGTCGTTTTAGTAACTGTACCTTGAAAGACGTTTAAACGGTGATCAGTTGAAATTTAAATGCAGATCATGAAACACATGTTAAATGCACTCATTTTTAGACTTATCACTATACCTAGCTGAGTAACGTAAGACCACGTATCACCCCATGCTGTAAAACTCCTATTAGATATTAGATATTATCTTATATCATCCCTTATATATATAAACCTCTAGCGTCCTATACACTCAACCAACCGAAATAAAGTTTCAAATATTGTTATTTGAAGGTAAGCTATGGAGATTGTGATGATTTGAAAACAACAGAGCTCTCGCGGTTACAGTAGCAGTGAAAACATTTCGGAATTTTAGAGTGGCGACGCCCGCTTTCGTGTTGCGAAAATTGATCAACCCCTTGAAAAGCCGTAAATGACAAAACCTGTAAGCATAAAATATTTGTAAATAAGAGCATCAATAAGAAACCGATGACCACATAACAGAGGAGAGAGGAATATAGGTTTTATTGGAATTGCAAATTTTGAACGTGTGCATTATTTCAAGATAGCGTCATGTCCTGTAACATTACAATTTCGGTGCCACCACGATCCTCCTAAGCCCGACAGACTCTTTCTTCTGGAGTTACCTAAAATCTAAGGTGTGCACATCAAACCCCGGAGATTTGTCGCAATTAAAGATGGCATAAAATGTGAAGTTGTAGAGATACCTCAAGCGATGTTACGTTTGTCATTGTTGACAACAATCTCCCGATGCAATGAGCTATCATCTGCATAGGTGGGCACGATTAAAACTTGGAACTTCGACCCTCTTCTCTCTAGTGAATTGTCGTTTACAATGCTCGTCTTTACAAATGTTTTATGAGCACGGCAGTTTTACTCATACGTATATCGTTCCAACGCCATTTATGGTTTCACAGTGCGGTGATCCCTTTGCGCAGGAAATACGTGGGTATCCCCTTTCGTAAACATCGAAATTTTTTTTTCTGCAACTATAACCGTAGAGGTACATTATTTTAAATCGTCACAATCTCGAACACATACCTTAAAATAACAATTTCGGAAATTCCATTTCAATTGGTTGTGCGGATAGGCCGCTAGAGGTATATACATATTTTTGACTCCCCTCCATATAATAAATGCACTAATTTTGGTTAATAAACTGAAAAAAAGAGTTTTCTCTGAAAGTGTATTTTAAACTTTATTTAATGAGATTATTATTATTTTACTATTTAATGAGATGATTAAAACATGTATATGTAACTAATATACTTACGTATAAGAAGTTCAAAATATAATCAAGAAAGTTTCAGATTGATAATCAGTTATTTTACACACACACACCAAAAAAGAAAGAAGATATATATTGACAGGAAAAATTTATCATATATTCACCGACTATGATAAAGGCACTGAGATATGCTAGATACTTCTCTAGGTAAATGAAACCGTCATTAACTAAAGCACGATAGCCTGTCGCTAGAAGCTCCTACCAATCAAATTAAAGGTTAATCCTGTACATCTAAACATGTTAAAGCTCGCTAAGATATAAAAGATTACTCTTTGAAACAGGAGAAAAGCTTGCTAGAATAAAAAGAACAGGCTTGATGCACATAAATGTTTGGATTTTTCATCACCCACGCCTTGAACAAGGAAAGGAAATTTTTTTGATTTCACACCAAATTTAGCTACAAAATAAGTAGCCAAAACCTTTGTCAGCTTGGCGATATCTCGCCAAATTACCGAAATACACATTTACTCAATGTTAAATGGGCTTGTCCAAGTATTCTTACTTTTCCGGCATTGCTTTCTTCTTGAAAGTTTTTATGTCATATTACACAGAAAATACAACAGTTTCTTAGAAGAAAAACCGAAATAAATTGCTCGAAAAGCATCTATCTATGATACAAATTAACACAAATTAAAAATTGGAAAATATTGAATATAGCACATGAGTTATTGATTGGATGATTTTTGAGTGCTGGTTGACTGCAGGAAGAGGCAACTGTCTCCTACTCTTGACCTTAGCACGGAAATATTGGGAATGAAATGATTTCGTTGAAACTCGGCAATTTATTAGCTAATGAGATATAATTAACGTATAAGAAAGTATCTAAAATAGAGATAAAATTTCGACCAGAGAAAAGGAGGATTTCCTTAATTGCTACTGATGGTTTGGAATCAGAAATTTCTCACATGTTTGTTAAATCACAAGTTACAATCAAGTTGGATTTGTATTAAAATACATTTTGTTCATCGGTGTTTCCCAAACCTGTTTCCTTTTGCTACATTTTGCGTAGCTGTAGATAACTAGATTTAAACACTGCGATTCTAATAAGGATTCAGGGAAGTGTCTGCTTGGATTAATAGAATAGATACAAATTAATAATAATAATAATAACAAATCGTATTATGTCAAATCTGTTAAGTACAGAAGAACTTTCTGAGAAAGAATGGCTAGTATTTAAGTTATACCAAAGTAATTCACAAACATTCATCACAATCATCCTTTTGAACCATCGGAAAGAGAATCAGGGACGAACTACTAGTATCGCTCGGTTTTAGACAATCCGTTAGTTGCGCAAAAGGTTCCATAAAGACTGCAGTATGGAAAACTCATATCCAAATAGCAAAAATACGAAATGTTATAATAAGCTATAACCGCAACAGTACAAGTCAGTGACAAGCATTGTTTTTGTTTAAACACTCAGAGTGGCATTGCATTGATTCATATCCTTAATTTAATCTTCTTTCAAAACTGAAAGTTGCTAATAATTGCCATTTCCCGGAAAGAAAAAGTAATGCCAAAAAGACAAAACGTATGAAATCTGGAGCGTTTCTGGTCTTGTGTTTCTTATCCGTTAAACTAACTCAAGTAACAATACGCAATAAGACAAATCTTTTAATTTAAACTTATTCTTCCCCTGCTCCCCGTTAAACTACGTATTCTACCCGCTATACGTGTATCAGGAAAACTAATAAAGAAAGCTAAAATCTAATGCAGAAAATATACTTTCTTAGAAGCAAAACCGAAATAAATCTCATCTCTTTCTTTTCCTTCTTATGCGTCTTAATAGTAATCTCTAATTCTCACGTCGACTTTTCTCGCTGGAAATTATTTTCAAACAAAACATTTCCTTACAGTGAAATTTACTGCAGTTAAAAGCAAAATATTTACCACTCTGGACGGTATAATGGTTAACGTAGGCTGACCTAATCGCTTGCACGAAATAAAGAGTTAACTTCTACGTAAGGTTTTGCTGCAATATTGCTATGCTATCTCTCTATGAGGGAATATGTTAAAGTTTTCGCCTGAGATGAATATTGGTAATGACAGGGTTTATATAGGCAATGAGACGGCTAAGCAATCAATGCGTTCAGCTATTTACAACGTATCGGGATGATTAAGAAAAATCTTAAGCTTCTGCATACGGGAAAGGAAGAACCGAAACGTAAATAAAATAACACTCTCTGTTCGTAAATATTAAAAAAAAAGTAATTGAAAATAATATCAGAAATAGTTTTTAACTCCCTGAAACGAAAATATTTTCTATCATTATCTCTTAAACTAAAAATTAAAAACGATAATGTCGCAATTCTACTTACTATTAAGAATTCTGCTGTGCGGAGAATCTCTTTTATGATCTTTTAGTAGAGACATTAGGTCCTTTTTTGGATCAGTAGAATGTGAGATGAAAAACGCCTACTGGGAATACTTGAGGCTAAAGTTCTCTGAAATCTGCTACTTTTCCAATGGGAGACAGGAAATACTTCTATTTATTAGTCGTTTTGAAATTAGTCTTTTTGGGGTTAAATGTGACTGTAGACCCCATTTTTAATATTGGTTCATCCTGATAAGAAGTATTCCTTCTCTTACTCTATTGAAACTGTTTACGAACACATATTTTTCATTCTTAAAAGAAATCTTGCATTCTCCAAAGCAAGTGTACATGTTGATAAAGGTTTTCATTTTTGAGCAGCTTTTTTCAAATTTTTACTCAAATCCTCTAATTCCTATTTCTCTGCTTATTTATAATGGCGAATTTGGTTTACTTTTAAAAGTTTTCTCAAGTTCTTATTAATATTGTTTGTTTCGCGAGATGAAGAATAGATATTGTTATAGTTTGATACATTAAGAATTTGCATGAAGACGCATAGAAATTACATACTTACCAAACAGTCAGGAGTATTCATTTTCTGCCGATAGGGCGGAGTTGTGGATCAGGGTCAGGAACAGCCTGGATGACAGACAAAGTTGCCACCATCAGAGCCGCGAGGAAAAGTAGACTGCGTTTCAAAAGTTCCATTTCTGAGATGCACGAATTCAATACGTATGAATAACTTAACTCGGAGATATCCTTTTATAATACAACTTCTATAAAAAAAGTATGCAATATCATGCCAAACAATTAACCACACAGAAAGAATATACATTGAGAAAACGAAATGATTTGCAAAATGCAAAGTATATTTTAAACATTCGTAAGTTTTTGAAATAAATTTCCTCATTTAAAGGAATTTTTTTAAATCTTACCAGGAATTTGTTGGTTATTTCGGTGACTCAGCATTGATTCATTGACTCATGTCGGGCACTTTTCGTGAAATGATTTGCAAAATACAAAGCAAATAATCCAGGCGTTTTTGAAAGAAATTTTCTCTGTTGAAGGAAGATTTTAAATTTCAGTGGGGGTTTGTTGGCTATTTCCGTGACTCAGCATAGATTCATTGACTGATGTCGGACGTTTTCTGTAGATGGGTAAAATGCAGAATCATCCTAAATTTTCTCGAAGCTGGATCCTAAATAGATATCGTAACTGTCCAAAGTTTTGAATCCCTAAAACCTTTATATAATAATTAAGAAAAACCAAATTTTACTCAGTATTAAGAAAGTCTAACTGAAAAAAAATTTGGAATCCATATTTGAAGAAAAACTGCACTTGTATTTATTAAGAACACTTGAATGAAATTTAATGAACGGCTACGTAACTAAAGCACATGAATCTCGATATTAATTTAATGAGTGTATTTTGACAAATCTCGGAAAGTATTTACCCTTTTTAAAGAATTTTTAAAAATCAAAGCAAATGCGAAGGGTGATGGAGACTTTAAGAATTATATAGATTAGCATAGATTTTTTTTTCATTCTGTACCCCCATTTCATTTTCGAGACTTTGCGTGAACACAAGCATTAAATGTAGAATAAAGATATAAAATTAACGATTTTATTCCTTTAGTAAACAAAATACAAAATAAAAAGAAGTAACTTTGGGATTTTTTTGAAGCAAGCAAAAATTACTGAAAGAAACACCCCTTTTGATAAGATTCAAAGAAAATCACATTTTGATAAAATAGATAGGTTTTTTTTTTTTTTTTTTTTTTTTTTTTTTTGCTGCATAGCAAATTAAATGCAGTATTTGGAACTGCTTAAGTATGTTTAACGAATTTCAGCACTGAGTTGTTTAGATTTAATAACTGATAAAGCTGGAAAAGTTCTTTTATATAACGATGTTGTCCTGAATGGCAGAGAAACATTTAATGCCATACCAGAAATTCAAATGAATTCTATTAGTTTCAGTCCAGAATTCAGTCAAGAAATTTTGCTAAAACATAACTTTTGAGTCATTAATAAATTAATTTTCCTCTTGAATAATTTTATTAATGTCAATTAATAAAATTTCTTTAAATTCGGTCATCTTAATTAAATTTTCGAGACTCCTTTTTAACAACATACTGGAAAGGATATGATATCAGCTGTTTGGTCAAGAATTTCACAGATGAAATAATATCGTCTTATGAAAACTCTTCTACCGAAGTTCCCTAAAGCAATCCCTTGAAAATTCTTATTCAATAGAGGAACCCTACCTCGCAGAAAGTATTCTTTTCCTTCCAAACGTCACAGACCGACGCAGATACTCGATATCCATTTTGAATTTCCTTTACGCATAGAAGTTTGAAAAGGTGGTTGGACTATGATGACGTTTCCATTGGGGTTTGGACTCACAGGACATATAATTTAGTCGATTCTGCTGTAATAGATTCTGTAGTACAGCGCAGGCAATTGATGGATGTAATGAAACTGTGTTATTATTCAAATACGACTGCGTTATTCTTATAATAAGATGACTTGGTGAGAGTTGCGACGGACTGGCGTTGGAGAGGACGTGCCAAATAAATCATCAAAGTATTATTGTCTTATTTAGTATTGCATCATATTGCAGAGACATAAAGTTAGTTTTTGGAAGCAGGAGACACTTGAAAAATGAGAGACGCCTTCACCGGAATTGAACCACGGACCTCTGGAATGTTCGCCCAGCGTGCAGACTACCACACCACGAAGGCATGCCAAGAAGGTGGGAGAAGTACCTTATATACTCTTCCTTTTAAAGAGCGACTGGGGACCCAATTGCAATATCCTGGGTGAGGAGAATCATGATCCAACACCCTTTTAGTTCGGGTGCCACTAGGTTATTTTTTGGAAGCAACAGAGATTGAAAAATGAGCAACGCCTTCGCCGGGAATCAAACCATGTACCTCTGGAATACGCGCTCAACGTGCAGATTACCACACCACGAATGCATGCCAAGAAGGCGGGAGAAATACCTTATAATATTATTATATTTTTAGCTTGAATTCTTTGTAGTAGGAAATATGCGTATCCACAATAAGAAGAGCTTATTGAAATTGAGAATTATATTTTGACATGAGAGTTCCCAGAACAATTTGTATTATAATGCAAATATTTTCAACGACAAAATATTTGAAAGACCTTTTTAGTGAACATTTATTTATGAAAAACATTTGAACATTTATTTTGTGAAACATTTTGAACATTTACCTTGTAGAACTTGTTTCATCAAAAGACTACAAAAAATTTTCATTGGACATTAAGACGACATTGGATTTAGCATCTGTTTAATCGTGGAGGAATTTTGAAGAAAAACTGACCTTTGAGTGGGTATTAAAAATAATACTTATAATTTTCATTCAAATTATATTCATATATATTTTTTATGTAAAACTTTCGGGTGTATGCCAAATTAGTGTAAATTACTTTACACGAAAAATATAGTGAATGCACAGAAATTAAAGATTTGCACATGTCGGAAATGATGAATAGGAAATATGTGTGGGTATTTATGCATGTGCTTGCAAAAATCATGTATCTGCCTTTGACAAAATACTTAAATATCCATTAAATTATTTATAAATGTATTTGAAATGAAGAATTTATTCACTTATAAACAACTGATTAAATGAAAAAGATACTGAAAAATTGGCATTTACTGGAAATTTTGGTCTTTATGAATTTAATAGATTACTTTTTGGTTAGAAAAATTCCCCAGCGGTATTTCAAAGAGCTCTTAGACAAATTTTAAAGAAATATCAGATTTGAATTTGCATTAAATTATTTTGATGACATTATCGTATTTTTTTTCAAATTTTGATGAACATCTTAAATGTCTTAAAATAATATTTGACATATGTGAGAAAGAGAATATAAAATTCAAACAATCTAAGTGTAATTTTGCTATAGAAAAAATGAAATTTCTAGATAATGATATTGAAGCAGGAAAATATCAACCCCGTAATGTAAACATTGAAGTTATTAGAAACTTACAACCCCCTAAAAATGTTAAAGAATTGCAAACATTTTTAGGAATTATAAGGATATACCATAAATTTACTCAAAATTATGAAAAAATTGGAGTTCCTTTAACAAATTTATATAAAAAAGATACTCCTTATAAATGGACTCGAAATCCATTCCCGCACAGGTTTGAATCCTGTCGACTCTGCTGTAATAGATTCTGTAGTAGAACGCAGGCGGTTGAATCCGTAACGAACAGCGAAAATTTTGATGCCGCAGAATGATGAAACGCCGATCTCAGTGAATAAGAAATTTGGCAGTCAAGGTATATTTAATTCAACTTTTATTTCAGTAAACATGCTGTGGCCACAATCAAGTAGGCACATTGCCTATTCCAAAAAGTTTATATTTTAGATAAATTTGTAGTAAGGTAAAAGGAGCAGACGGACTGCAGTCCAGGTAGGCCAGGTAGGCTTATGCCGACGACTTTTTGCTGGTAACCAAAGGGCACAGCCGCAACGCATATGAGACTAGGGCGCAACAAGCAATGGACAAGATGGCCAAATGGGCCAATGACCATAAGTTAACTATTGCCAACTCAAAACCCAAGGTATGCTTATCTGTCCAGGTAAGCGCCATCGAAGAACCCCGTGCATCAACCTTCATGGGAAAAATATTAAAATAGTCAGAAACTTGGAGTTATAATATTGGTACCTTGGAGGTACCTTGGAGTTATAATCGACGACACATTGACTTGGATGCCACATTTAAAGGAGGTCAAGGCACGACTTCACAGTATATTTCATTCCATGCTCAGAACAGCAGCACCAACATGGGGAGTTTCTTCGAGGATGCTTAAGACGTAGTACTCTGTAGTTGCTGAACGTATTGCACTATATGGGGCCTCCATGTGGGGCATAACGATCACTACTAGAATGGAGAATCTGCTACGCTCAGCACAAAGACCATTCCTCCTGAGCATTACCCGAGGATATAAAACCTCGCCCACTAATGCTCTAAACGTGATTTCAGGACTACCGCCTCTGCATCTCTTAGCTCAGCGCGAGAGTGCAATAGTGCGAGTGCTCCGACTCAAAGAGACAATAAGTTTATGGGACAGTACTTATGTTTATACTGACTATGAGCAAAGCATTCCCGAGCCACCTTGCCACCCGGCCGAATTCAATATCTCGATTAACTGCAGGTCACCAACGTGGTTCAATGCCACTGCAATCTACACCGTTGGTTCCAAACGAAAATGTGGCACCGGTAGCGGATACTGTGTTCTTCTTGGGAACCAGATCTTAAAGACCTGGGAAAGAAAGCTTAAGCACCACAACTCAGTTTTTCAGGCTGAACTGATTGCATTAAAAGCTGCACTTGTCTACGCACTGGAAAATAACTATTCCTGTATATATTCAGACTCAGCCTCTAGCCTCCAGGCAATCCAAGGCACATGTAGTAAAAATCCACTCGTCAGGGCTATACAAAAACTCTTACTAAGAACACCTAAATACTATAGGCCTGAACTCTAGTGGGTACCTGCGCACACTGGAATACTGGGTAATGAAATTGCAGATGCAATAGCCAAAAGAGAAGCAACTGACCCGCACGTTCGCACACTTGACGTGCCTCTCCCGGGTTCGTTCTTAAAAGCTGAGCTCGAGAGAGAATTACTCAAACGTTGGCAACATCTGTGGGAGACAGAAACCACCGGCAGAAGAGTTTACAGATTTTTTCCAAAAGTCTGCCGGCTTCTAAAATCTGGCTCGTCTCACTTCACTCAGTATCTAACAGGACCTGGTCCCTTCATGACTTACCTGCATCGCTTCAAACGACGCGAAAACGAGCATTGCTCATGCAGGATGGTAGGAGATCCGGACCACTATCTGTTCGCTTGCAGAGAGACGGCCAAATATCATGTTAGGCAAGCAGTAGCAAACCACATCCATGCATGGGCCGAAGCTACTTCAAAAAATCGCAATGCATTGAAACGCATATGCGATTGCATAAACATTGCACGCAAAATCTCAGACAGGCTGGAGTAATTCTCAGCCACCATCCTCGTCACCAGCACAGCCCCTGTAT